TAAGTCAACTTGACCAAAATGGTCAGTTGACCCCTTAAGGAGTTATTGCCCTTTATAGTAATTTTTTAACCATTTTTCGTAATTTTTTGTAATTTTTTACAAAAATCTTCTCCTCTGAAACTACTAAGACAAATTTAACCAAACTTGTCCACAATCATCATTAGGGTATCTAGTTTAAAATATGTGTCCAATGACCCCGCCCGCGAACCAAGATGGCCGACATGGCTAAAAAATAGTACATAGGGTAAAATGCAGTTTTTGGCTCATATCTCTGAAACCAAAGCATTTAGAGCAAATCTGATGGTATAAAATTGTTCATTAGGTCAAGATCTATCTGGCTTAAAATTTTCAGACCAATCAGGCAACCCGTTGTTGGGTTGCTGCCCCTGAATTGGTAATTTTAAGAAAATTTTGCAGCTTTTGGTTATTATCTTGAATATTGTTATAGATAGAGATAAACTGTTAACAGCAATAATGTACAGCAAAGTTAGATCTACAAATAAGGCAACATGACCAAAATTGTCAATTGACCCCTTAAGGAGTTATTGCCCTTTATAGTCAATTTTTTACAATTTTCATAAATTTTGTAAATTTTTGTAAATTTTTACAAAGTATTTTCCACTGTAACTACCGGGCCAAGTTCATTATAAATAGAGATAATAGTAAGGAGCAAGAATGTTCAGTAAAGTAAGATCTACAAACACATCACCATCACCAAAACACAATTTTGTCATGAATCCATCTGTGTCCTTTGTTTAATATGCACATAGACCAAGGTGAGCGACACAGGCTCTTTAGAGCCTCTAGTTTATAATAAAAAAATTCTCAAATTTTATAATTAGATGATATGATTAAAAAATATTTTATATTATATAACATGCTACATAAAAGTTATCAAGACACAAACAACAGTCAGGTGGTGATACTAAACAAGTTATTTTTTTTAGTCACTTTTATAAGTATTTTTTGTTTTTAAAAATTATTTAATAAAATTAACTCAATAGTTATTTTAAATGTCAAATAAATCATGGACTAAATGTAGTTTTTAAGAATTTTTATATCATTTCATTAAATTAAATTAAGTATTTATCCAAATTGAGATGAGTATAGAGAGGTTACTTTAAAAAATAATGACAAAAATATTACTTTAATAAATTATTTTATACAACTTCAAAAAAAATAGTACTTACATTTATTTAAGGAATATATGTAATTGCTTTTGATTAAGATTCAAATTATAAATAACTTCAAGTCTTAATTAAAGGTTCCATATCTAGTTATAAGTGTCTATCTCTAAGATTTTAAGGGGAAATGATATTTTAATAGCCCCAAGAGGCCAATCTTTGACCAAGTAGTGTGGCATCAGAAAAGCAATTAGTGCTTGTTGAGGATTTAAATAGTTTTACCAGTATATTTCATGGGGAAAATAACCAGATGTCTGTGAAAATTTGTTAAAGCTAGTAAAACCTGTATGAATGGACACCTATAAAAATAATATTAACATAAGTTACTTATTCATGATATAGAAGTAATATTTGAAACAGCCTCGTTTTCAACATAACTTGTATAGGTAATTTTGAAAATTACTAGTTTAAATAATGCCCCTACCTAAAGAATGGTAATATGTTTTTTTTTAAATAGCAAACTAAGTTCTTTTATAGAAAATTATGGCTACTTTAAGAAAAGTTGTAATTCATTAGTGGAAGCCTGGTTTGAGGGGGTAATACAACCATTGTTTTCCCTCTAGTATGTCTCTCTTTACTTGGCATTTTTTTTTTAATTGTGGAGATTTAGCTTTGTTTTAAATAAAGAAATACTTGGAATGAGTATAATTATTTTCCCCCTATAAGTCTTTGTTTAATTGTCATGATTGTTATATTTCAAAAAAAATGTGCAGAATTTATCTATGTTTTTATTAAAGAAATACTTGACATAAATAAAGTTTTATCCTGTCCTGTACTACAGTGAAAATATAGCATAACTTTTTAATGCATAGAAGAAAGTAAACATCACCAGAAGTTAAACTATCAAATTCTCTCCCCCTTTTTTCCCTGTAGAATATAGTATATTTTTATTGCTTTGAAACACCCAAGATACATGTTTACAACTCAAAAAAACTTTTCTGCAATGAAATGGAGGGTTAATTTCAAACAACTGTCAAATTAAATGGAATATAAAAAATGTGGATAGTGTCCACATGTGTCCACAGATGATGCCCCTATTTGCATATCATATAGTTATAAAGGGACATAACTGAAGAACAGTAAAAGTGATGCTACCCAAATTTGAACTTGATCTGAGTTTTGTGTGTAAGTCTCATAACATTTGGTTGAGGCTAACTTAAGTAGAGAACAGAAACTTAAAATTCAGCAATTTTTCTATTTATAAAGGGGCATAACTCAATAATGGTTAAAGTGACACTACCCAAACTCAACTTGATCTGTGTTTTATCAGTGGAAGTCAAAATTAAACATTGCATTGTATAAAGCATTGATTGTAGTTGATTCAACTATAATCATGGACAAAGGAAGATAACTCCAATTTTAAAAGTAACTTGATATTTAGAAGAAAATAAAAATTTGCAATTTTTTCCTTTTATAAAGGGGCATAACTCTAGAACGGTTAAAGTGACGCCACCAAAATTCAAACTTGATCTGTGTTTTGTGGTAATAAGCATTGTGTGTAAGTTTCATAACATTTGGTTGAGGCAAACTTAAGTTAGAGGACGGAAACTAAAAATTTTGCAATTTTTCCATTTATAAAGGGGCATAACTCTAGAACGGTTTAAGTGACGCCACCAAAATTCAAACTTGATCTGTGTTTTGTAGTAATAAGCCTTGTGTATAAGTTTCATAACATTTGGTGGAGGCAAACTTAAGTTAGAGAACGGAAACTTAAAATTTTGCAATTTTTCCATTTATAAAGGGGCATAACTCTAGAACGGTTAGAGTGACGCCACCAAAATTCAAACTTGATCTGTGTTTTGTAGTAATAAGCATTGTGTATAAGTTTCATATCATTTGGTTGAGGCAAACTCAAGTTAGAGAACGGAAACCAATTTTGGGACGTACAGACAGACAAGGGTAAAACTTAATGCCCCCACCGCTACGGAGGGGGCATAAAAAAGATCAACCCTTTTTCGCATGAAACTGAATGTGCTATGTTTTGGTAGTATGGTTATAAATCAATAACCATAGTTTGTGTCTTTGATGACTTTTATATTTAATTTTATATAGTATAAATTTAAAATATATTTATATTTTAAATATAAAATTTGAGTGTTTTTTTGTATCATGTGTATTGAAAAAGAATGATAATTATTAAGAAAATGTTTTAAAGTCATTTTTTTCTGTGAAAACTTGATACCAAGCATTGTACAGTAATATTGAAGAATTTCTCATCTATTTTATAGTTTTGTAAAATTAATGCAAGATTTGTTTGAATAGATGTTTACACAGGTGTTAATGGAGCTTCCTCTATAATGCTCTACTTTCCTTATTATAAAAGTGCTATAGATTTGATTGACATCTTAATGGATCATGATAATTATTGTCACATAAACTGCTGAGAAGAGCCTACTTAAAAAGCTCCGAGCATCCTCCGAGCATGCTCGGAGCTTCCTCGTAAGAATAAATCTATGATCCCTTATGTAACAGTTAAAATGAAATACAACTTGACATAAAATTTACATCAAACAAACAAACAACCAAACATTGTTTAGTGTGACGTCCACTTTCACTGAACTAGTACACATTTTTATATGCCCGTTTACTGGACGTATTATGGTATACCGTTGACCGTCTGTCCGTCCGTCGTCAACATATTGGACATTAACTCAAAAAAGCTTTAACCAATATGCATGAAACTTTGGTGAATTGTTTATATCTATTGACGTGAGCTCCCTTTCTTTTTTTATAAATTTCAGATTTACCGTTTCTGAGTTTTGGGGTTTTATTCATTAAAAAAGGGGTGATTTTCCAGTTTTCCGACAATAACTCGAGAATGCTTTCACCAACTTGCAAGAAATCTTGGTGAATCGTTTATATCTATTAACATGAGCTCCCTTTCGATTTTTATAAATTTTAGATTTTACGTTTCCAAGTTACAGGGTTTTATTCATAAAAAAGGTTGATTTTCCAGTTTTCGGACAATAACTAAAAAATGCTTTCAGCAGTTCTCATGAAACTTTGGTGAATTGTTTATATCTGTTGATGTAAGCTTCCTTTTAGAATTTTCTAAATTTTAAATTTTACTTTTCTGAGTTATGGGGTTTTATTCATTAAAAAAGGGGGGATTTTCCAGTTTTTGGACAATAACTCAAAAATGCTTTCAGCAGTTCTCATGAAACTTTGGTGAATTATTTATAGCTATTGATGTAATCTCTCTATTGATTTTCATAAATTTCAAATATGACATTGAGAAGAAATTGAACTTTATTTGTTTATAGTCTGACAACAGATTTACTAAGTATTGCGCAACAGCACAGTGTATTGCACAACAGCAAGAAATCTTTAATTGAATATAAATTCAATTCATATAACCAATTTCAAGTTCTTTGACTACATTTATTCAGAAACCTATAATATGTCAAATATTTAATTACAATCCAAATTCAGACCTGTATCAAGCTTGAATATTGTGTCCAGTTTTGCCCCAACTGTTCAGGGTTGGACCTCTGCGGGCGTATCCAGCTGCGCTCAGCGAAGCAGTTTATTGTTTAGGGACCAGCGGAAACCTGCCTCCGGGTGCGGGATTTTCTCGCTGTGTTGAAGATCTATTGGTGGCTTTGGGCTGTTTTCTGCTCTTTGGTCGGCTTGTTGTCTCTTTGACACATTCCCCATTTCCATTCTCAATTTTGTTGTAGCTGTTTATCATCATAAATAGATGCTAATTAATTGTAATAGTGGTTGTAAAAGAAATTGATAAATAGTTGGTAGTACTTTTTAATAACAAATCTTTGAATGAATAGTATCATTACCAACGATATTTTGTTGTTGTAGAAAGCCCTGCCAAAGAAAGGATATATACGAGGTGTGTCATATTTAACAGGATATTTAGTTAGGAAGATGGAAGGAAACAAATGTCAGTTCACATATGTATCTCAGTCAGATCCTAAAGGTAATAACATGTGATAGATATGGACACATTGTAATTGACATATATTACTTTACACAGGTGTCTAATATAGATTTTGATGGTAGGGCATATGTAAGTTTACTTTTTCTCTATCAGAACCTAAAGGTAGAGACATTTTTATGCCCCATTTATGGGCATTATGTATTTTGGTCTGTGCGTCTGTTAGTTCGTCTGTCCGTCTGTCTGTCTGTCCCGCTTCAGGTTAAAGTTTTTGGTCAAGGTAGTTTTTGATGAAGTTGGAAGTCCAATCAACTTGAAACTTAGTACAGAGCACCAGATAAGAATTCACAAATTGGGGTTTTTACCCACCATTTTTTTATGTAATTGGGTGATAAAAGTTTTTTAATTGCATTATCAATTCCAATTCACCCCTCAAGCAAATATCAAATTGGGTTTTTCACCACCAAGCTCCTTAATGTATTGGGTTTTTTCATCAACACAATATTGAATATTTAGGCATGTTATAATCACATTATATCAACCCCAGATGTGTTTCCATCTTAAATGTGTTTCTTTCTTTGTATATGTGCTTAGCTGTTTTATTTGGTTTATTCACTGACGAGCAATTGTACGTTTAATTTGTGTCCCGTTTTAAACGTTCTGTCAGTTTTGTATTTTCTCAAAACTTATGTAAACTGCAGCTGGTGTCACTAGTTGGACATTAACTAATTGCCTTTCTAGATCCCATATGATCACCCTACAGTTTATAGTTGGGGTAGGTGTGGCTTAGATTGTTATGTAATATATGTGAAATTTAGGTGCTGTAAGAAAGTTTTGCCAGTACTTTCACCTATTTGCCAGATCTACTTTTTAATAAAAATAAAAAGTAGTTCCCAGATTTAAGATATACCCCAAAACCTTGAGATTTATAGGGTGGTTTAATGATGGAGACCACATTCAACTTAAATTTACAAATAATTCTGCAACATCAAGTAAATAAATGACAATGTTATACTGCACTTGCCAATAAGACAACTATCTTAAGCATCCAGAACAATTAGACCAAAACAAATAAAGTGTCAAGCTGCATAATTTGACGTAAAAAACGGATATGTGTATTCATTCATCAACTAAAATGAAAAAAAATAATATATAAACTGTTTTTGTTTAATTCAATTTACATAAATCTGGGTTAAGTTGTCCCTTATCAGAACTTTTGGTTTCCGATGCTTTCCAACTTCATATCATGTCATAATTGATTTGGCCTTTCACTTTTTCCAACTGATTTCGTTTTTGACGAAACCCCGTGTTTATCGTTCTATAGCAATGTTCTCGTACCTTCAAACACGCCCGTGCGTTCAATGGACGCTTCCTAAAATCACTAGCTGAGTGTTGTTATCATCATAACTTTCCCTCAGCTCAGTGATTGGGAAGGACGTGCGCCTTGCGCCAATTGCACTTATCGACCAGAAATGGCGCATAGAGTGACAAATGTAAGCGCCCGCGTGGCGCATGATATTTTTCACTTCGTTTTGAAACGTTGAGATATCGTCAAATGGATTTCCGATCATATTTCGTGCCGCCATGTGTGAGTACACAACTGTGTAGTGTTTACTCCAATAATAGGAGCACCTATATATTTTTGGGACGTCTCGGGTGTTTTCCTATGGTAATATTAGCAACATGCGGTATGACTGATAACCCAAAAAACGTAATTAACCATCATTCATGATATAATTTTTTTATAAACAACTTTAAATTTGTGAAAATTGGCTAGTACCTAATTATAATCTTTTAAGTAAGCTTGCTATTATATCGATTGAAAAATCCAAAAGCCTTTTTATGAATAGCATAGTATTTGTCTCCATAAAAGGGGCTTAACTGTCCTTGTCAATTTTTTTGGTCTTTGGCTCGTTTTGACATTTTGTAAACATGCCTTCAGCGAATTGTTGTTGTGTCTTATCAATTAACGTTGCTCTCTACTGTTATTCTTGTCATCGTGATGAAGTAATAATAATACAAGTGCAGAGGAAATGTCAGAAACGTCCTCTAATACGGAACTTCTGGAATAAGTATGGTATCGACGAAGACCCAAATTTAATGTAAAAAAAACCATGAACATGAACAAGGGAACAGTACAAGTTTTAACATTGTAAATAAAGGTTATCGTAAATATTGTCCGGTTTGGAAGAAGTTATTGTATATTCATTGAAATTGAAATTACAAAATCACAGGAACAATATCCATGATATTAATTAGAATCATACTTGTAAGTACAGTGAAATATACACTTTTTTTATTTATTTTTTTTATTGTAAACGAATGGCCCACTCATTTGACAACATGGCCCATTAATTCTAAAAATGGCTCATTGAATTTATTTTTGGGGGGCCCTGGGCCCATAGAGAAAAAATCCTTCCAGATCACTGTCAGCTATCAAAAAGAAGCCGAAAACATGCTTCCATCCAATATTTTTATCGGACATTTACTTTCGTTTTAATTCATTGTATGTTATGATAAATCCCGAGCAATTCGAAAAAATATGACAGCATGTCACACGCTAATTGGATAAACGCCGAGAAGATCGAAATATTTTCATAAACACGTGTACCTTTTGAGCAACGGAAAATTCCAACAGGGACACATTACAGCTACTTGATGCAGGGCTCTATTTTAAGAACGAAAGGACATTTCCAATTATAAATTATAAAAATAGATTTACGCGATGACTGTAATCAGATAAGGGTAAATAACGCAAACGATAGCGAATAAAAGCGTTAAGAACTCATGGTTTTGGCATATAATTGGGTTTTCCTTTGAATTAATTGGGTTATTGAACCCTGCAATGGGCAATTGCATTGGGTTTTTAATTATTTGTATTGCGTGATCACGCAAATACGCAGCTTATCTGGAGCTCTGCTTAGTACACATGTTCCCTATGATATGATCTTTCTAATTTTAATGCCAAATAGAGTTTTGACCCCAATTTCACGGTCCACTGAACATAGAAAATGATAGTACGAGTGGGGCATCCTTGTACTATGGACACATTCTTGTTTACTTCACATTTGTGTTTTGAGTCAGATGCTAAAGTAGAGGACACATGTAAGCTTTTATATGTGTCTCAATCATTATCAAATGCCCAATGAGGAAATGCATGTCACTTTACATATGTGTCCCCAGCATATCATCATAACAGTAGAAAATTTCATTAAACAAACATGTCATAGAAGCAGATGGAAGATTTCATGTGTCTCAGACAAAACATAAAGGTAGTTACAAAAGGAAATTTACATATCACACCATTAAATTGTTATTTACACCCTGAAAAGATCAATAGGACATCCCATCAGAAACAGAACCCTGCATCATGCCTATTCTTTACCTAAAACACACTTGTTTGTCAATGTAATTTTTAACAATAAAATAATTGTCAAGCTTCCCTATCTGACATATGTCTGAGCTAAAAAATTATATTACAGGTCCAAAATAATGTAGTCATCATGACATGTTCATTAAGTTGCACTTTAATTTCAGACTATAAGGATAGTTAGGCTACATGTAACTGTCATTGACTGTAGTGTCCATAGAAATTGTCATATTTATTATGTTTGAGAACCTAAAATTAAAACTTCTATTAATCTGAATTCTAATATTTAATAACTGCAGACTTAATAAACAATATGATTGATGTCTATCTTGTGCTGTAGAGCATTATCAAAAAGCTTGGTTTTCCATAAAACCTCTATGAAGAATCAGTAAATCCAGGTTAAAAAAATAAAAATAAATGCTAAAAAGCCTCTTATCTGGTTCCTTAGAGGTAAAAGTCAGACTTATATCAGTGTTGCTTAGTTTGATTACACCAACTCCTTAACATGTGGCAAAACCTGTCTAAACAACAACCTATGTAAACCTGATACCTGTCTAAATCAAAACCTGGTTTAACCAGAAACCTTTAAAAACCGATTCCTGTATAAACCTGTATCAGGCATTGAAGCTGCTGAGGGTAAAATGTTTCTGACCTTTGAGTCCACATTTATTTTTGTGTATTCTCTTCATATCTGGGTGATGTTTACCACTCATCAAAACCTCAAATGAGTTTGATAATAAGAAAATTCTAAAAGCGGTTCCATTTTTTAGTGAGAGAGACTTCACAGATTAATTTCTGTAGCAGTGATAAATTCAAACCTAAAAGTAGTTAGAAAGAGCCAGCACCTCAGAATATGCTCTTCCCCTTTTTGTGGTATCTGTGAGGTTGCTCATTAAAAATTCTTTGATATTGAAAATTTGTCTCAATTCTATGTGCAACATTTATCAATATGTTGCAGACTTTCATTGTGTCACATATATATATATATTTTAAAGAATATCTTCTTTTAACAGGAAAGCTTCCAGCCTGGGCTGTCAACAAAGTTACACAAATAATGGCACCAAAAGTAAGTAGGAGTGTTGGTTATTCAGTTTATCTTTATTATGATTAGGTCTCATGAATTTGTGAAAAAATATTAAAAACCAACAAAATGCCCACTCATTAGCATGTCTAAGGTTAGTGTGTTGAGAAAAATTGAAACAAGGAAGCTAGAATGCTATAACTTAAATAGTCAAAATGGTAACAAACCATTTATAAGTACTGTTATACTTATTTGTATTTCAAATTAAATCTGAAGAACAAGTGTATTTGATGTTAAGATAATTAGCACTCAAAATCTTTTTATGCCCCCACGACAAAATGTCGAGGGGCAAAAATTATTTACCCCTGTCCATCCGTCCGTCTGTCTGTCCAGATTAGGATACATTGTTTGTCCGGCTATCTCCTCCTACAGTTTTGGAGGTACAACTTTAATATTTTGTTGGATGTTCATACACATAATAAAGGTGTGCATGGCCACAAGATTTTGATTTTTTCAAATGTTCTAAAAATGACAGGTAGTTGGACTTAGTAATTTTTTTGGTACTAGCTGCATAAAGAGATCATGGTTTGTCCGGCTATCTCCTCCTACAGTTTTTGAGATACAGCTTTAATATTTTGTAGGATGTTTAAACACATAATGAAGGTGTGCATGGTCACAGGATTTTAATTTTTTTTTCAAATATTCTGAAAATGACAGGTAGTTGGACTTAGTCATTTTTTTGGTCAGGCGAGTAATCATTTGTGTCTTACAGACAGTGTAACCATTTCAAGTTGTATGCCAACATCACTGTTTGTCAAATCTAAAATATGTGGAACTATACTCATGCATATGGCAGAGCATAAAGGAGGGGGGAGGGTCATTGTCCATATCTAGTATTAATTCCAAGCAACTTTGCTAACTAGATACAAAATAACTTTTCCCATCAATTTTTATACGACCGCAAAAAAATTTTGTGGTCGTATATCAGGGCTCGACAATAACGCTTGTCCGATTGTCCGGTACCAGAGGAAAAAAAGATCGGACAAGTAAAAGCTATATCAAGCTTGTCCGATGGGACAAGTAAATTTATTCTGCATAAAATAAATTTAATCCAACTTTGATGAACAAAATATAATTATAAACAGAAAACAAGAAAAGAAGATAAAAACAAGTATTAATTTGACATGTTTACTTGCAATCGATAATTTAAAAACTGGTTCTTTGTCAGGTATTTTTTAACAGGTAAAAGTAGATACTATTATCAGAAACCAGTCTTACTGATCCGAATCAGCGATGCACTTTGTAGATAGACAACTTTACAAGACAGTTCGTCACCAGCTTGGAAACTATTCGGCTCCAAGTTTAATAGACAGTTTAATTGGCACCATAGGAGACATATTTAATAGAGATGATAAATAGACATTTTGGTAACGCAGGAGAAATTTCGGGACCAAGACAAATCAGTACCTCGTTTTCCTACCTTGATTCTGTTGCTTTATAATAAATACCAAACCAGTAATTTTTTAAATGAAAATGAAGAAATTATTTACCATAAATTTCACAAAATCATATTTGATCATATGTAGAAAAAAAACAATACTTGCAATACTGTGACCTATAGTTGTTAATTTCTGTGTCATTTCGTCTCTAGCAGAGAGTTGTCTCATTGGCAATCATACCTCATCTTCTTTTTTTTATTAATTGCATTTGAATAAACTTTTTTCAGCTTAAAAAAACAGGATACAAATCCAATGAGTGTACATTGACAGGCCTTTCAGACAGTGCCTCATGTGCAGAGTCTGATGAGACTTTGGCATTGATGAAAACTAGAACCTTAAACTCCAGTGACATGACTAGATTCAGTTGTTCTCGACTCATATTTTTTAAAAGTATATCAAAAGATATAAAACTAACTTCTGTTATATTGTTTTAATTCATTTTGTTCCTTGAATCAACTTAAAATGCAAAAAAAGGTTATTATTAAGATTTTTTTAGGACAAGTTACAATTTCATTCGGACAAGTAAATTTTGGTATGTACTTGTCCTACTGGACAAGTTGAAAAAAAAGTTATTGTAGAGGCCTGTATATTGGTATGACGTTGGCGTCGTCGTTGTTGTCGTTGTCCGGCGTCGTCGTCCGAATACATATTGGTTTTCGCACTCTAACTTTAGTTTAAGTGAATGGATCTTTTTGAAATTTGACCATAAGGTTAAATACCACAAAAGGAAGGTTGGGATTGATTTTGGGGGTTATGGTACCAACAGTTAAGGAATTAGGGGCCAAAAAGGGGCCAAAATGAGCATTTTCTAGTTTCCAGACAATAACTGTGGAACGGTGTATGGATCTCTCTGAAATTATACTACAAGTTTCCATACCACAAAGGGATGGTTAGGATTTGCTTTGGGGGGTTATGGCTCAAACCGTTTAGGAATTAGGGGCAAAAAAGGGGGAAAAACAAAGGTTGTCCTGGTTAATGGACAAATACTTTAGTACAAAACATAATTTAAAGCAGTGTAAGGGAGATAAATCAAATACATCATTGAAATTATCTCCCTTACACTGCTTTTAAATTATGTATAAAGTAATGGTTAATGAACAATAAAGATAATCTAAAACAGTGTAAGGGAGGTAATCCAAATACAACGTTTTGGTTACTTCCCTTACTCTGCTTTTAAATTATGTTTAAAGAAATGCATATTTATAAAGGAAGACCAGTAAAAATATCTGCAAATGTTTTCATCTTTTTTTTTACAAAAAAATCCATATGAAAGATTTGACACTATATTTTTATTAATTCTATTATAAAATAGATTAAGTTAGCACTATGGTAAATTTAAATGGGTAATTATGGTTGCCAACTCCATTGGAAATTTGAATTGAGATTATGACCATATCTTGAGGGAAAGAATTTTTTTGGGGGAAAAATGGGGGGGGGGGGGATAAAAAGAAATTGTGGGGGGCCAATTTTTTCTCATTTCAGATTTCAGAAATTAAAAAGAATTATTCTTCAAATATTATTTTTTTTTCAAATTTCTAATATTGAAAAATTTCAAGAAGTAATCTTTAATTGCACAGTATGGCGCATTAGATTTGTAAAATCTTTGATCACATTTATTTATTTGTTATGCCGAATCTAACAGTGTATTTAGATTTTTAATTTTGGGTCCAGTTTTCAAATTGGTCTACATTAATGTCCAAAGGGTCCAAAATTAAACTTTGTTTGATTTAAGCAAAAATTGAATATATGAAGTTCTTTGATATGCTGAATCTAAACATGTATTTAGATTTTTGATTTTTGGCCCAGTTTTCAAGTTGGTCCAAATTGGGGTCCAAAATTAAACTTTGTATGATTTCAACAAAAATTGAATATATGATGTTCTTTGATATTCTGAATCTAACCATGTATTTAGATTTTTTATTTGTAGGCCCCGCTATCAAATTTGTTCATATTGAGGTCAAAAGGGTCCAATATTAAACTTTGTTTGATTTCATCTAAAATTGAATTATTGGGGTTCTTTGATATGCCAAATCTAACCGTGTTTTTAGATTTTTAATTTGGGTTCCGTTTTTTAAATTGGTCTTCATTGAGGTCCAAAGGGTCCAAAATTAAACTTAGTTTGATTTTAACAAAAATTGAATTCTTGGGGTTCTTTGATATGCTGAATCTAAACATGTATTTAGATTTTTGATTATGGGCCCAGTTTTCAAGTTGGTCCAAGTTGGGGTCCAAAATTAAACTTTTTTTGATTTCAACAAAAATTGAATATATGGGGTTCTTTGATATGCTGAATCTAACCATGAATTTAGAATTTTTATTTGTGGGCCCCGCTATCAAATTGGTTCATATTGAGGTCAAAAGGGTCCAAAATTAAACTTTGTTTGATTTCATCAAAAATTGAATTATTGGGGTTCTTTGATATTCCAAATCTAACCGTGTATTTAGATTTTTAATTTTAAGTCCCGTTTTTTAAATTGGTCTACATTAAGGTCCAAAGGGTCCAAAATTAAACTTAGTTTGATTTTAGCAAAAATTGAATTCTTGGGGTTCTTTGATATGCTGAATCTAAACATGTGTTTAGATTTTTGATTATAGGCCCAGTTTTCAAGTTTGTCCAAGTTGGGGTCCAAAATTAAACTTTGTTTGATTTTAACAAAAATTGAATATATGGTGTTCTTTGATATGCTGAATCTAACCATGTATTTTGATTTTGGACATTGGACCATAATAGGTAAATTAAAAAAATTCAAGTTCTTAGACCACATTCTTTCTGTGTCAGAAACCTATGCTGTGTCAAATATTTAATAACAATCCAAATTCAGAGCTGTATCAAGCTTGAATGTTGTGTCCATACTTGCCCCAACTGTTCAGGGTTCGACCTCTGCGGTCGTATCAAGCTGCGCCCCAGCGAAGCATTTTATTATAAGTTGATTTAAATCAATTATTTATAAAGAATATCCTTAACAGAATTCAGTTTTTCTTTGAACCTTTACAAAATTCAGGTAACTCAAAAAAATGCTGCTCGAAGAAAAACCAGGTCTCAAAAAACATGTTTTGAAGTTTGAATAAACTGTGTTTTCTCTATTACCAATATTTTTACCAAGTTATAAAAAATCAAATTTTCTGTGAACAATAAGGAAAAGCAGTAAATATGAAAGTCTGGCAGAATTATTTATTCAGTGCACTTATATCTTCATAACAAATAAAGAAGATATGGTTTGATTGCCAATGAGACAGCTATCCACCAGATAACAAATGAAGTGGGTTCAAGCAACTTTTGGTTCTTGGTTTAATTATTTGCTTGCTATATATTGAAAAAAAAAATTTAAAAGTAAATAATTATATGTATTGGTATTTGTTTATTTTATAGGTCATTACAAGAATACACAAAGCATGTCTCAGTTACCAGAAGTGGAAATCTACTCATAACCCAACCTTTAAACCATGGCTAAATCCTGAACAAATGACACTGCCAAGACTAAACATGGCCGACATTAAACCTCTATCAGAATTTAACTCTCTAGAATCATTAGATGAAAGCTGTATGAAGGAAAGTGATATAGGTGAAAATGACATCAGTGACGAGGATTCATCTGATTGATGATAGTAACATTAGTATACATGATTTTAGAGTGTTGTAGGGTACCAAGGTGTTTGAACATAGATTACATCATTATGATAGTTGTCTCCCCTAGTTGAAGGAATGAAAAAGTTGCCTCCCTTAGATTGATGTCAATAAATTCAAATTCTTATATTTTAACAATTTAGGTAAAATATAAATAGTTTTACATGGATATCTCGATATGGAATACTGAAACTCATATACAATTGAATAGGAAGATTTGTATTAAAGCTTCCTATAAATATGGTAATGACATCAAGTTTTTATGCAATTTTGTTGCAATTTTTGGAAGTTGTAAAGTGTGATTGTTTGAGAACTATCAGTAGATATCATGAAAATGTAATGACTTATAATGTAGTGCAATAGGGAACTCTTATAGGGAAATATCACTAATAGTTATTTAATGATTGTGTAATGGACCTTTGGGCTTTCATTCATTATTGTGGTCCCTAAATTGTTGTTTTTATGACAATGTTTAAGTAAGCAATTATAATGTTTTTGTCGAGCCTGCGACTTTTGTCGCAGAAAGCTCGACATAGGGATAGCGATCCGGCGGCGGCGGCTACGGCGGCGGCGGCGGCGGCGTTAGCTAACTTCTTAAAAGCTTTATATTTTAGAAGATGGAAGACCTGGATGCTTCATACTTTGTATATGGATGCCTCATGTTATGAAGTTTCCGTCAGTCACATGTCCAATGTCCTTGACCTCATTTTCATGGTTCAGTGACTACTTGAAAAAAAAGTTCAGATTTTTTGTAATGTTAAATTCTCTCTTATTATAAGTAATAGGATAACTATATTTGGTATGTGCGTACCTTGCAAGGTCCTCATGCCCGTCAGACAGTTTTCACTTGACCTCGACCTCATTTCATGGATCAGTGAACAAGGTTAAGTTTTCGTGGTCAAGTCCATATCTCAGATACTATAAGCAATAGGTCTAGTATATTCGGTGTATGGAAGGACTGTAAGGTGTACATGTCCAACTGGCAGGTGTCATCTGACCTTGACCTCATTTTCATGGTTCAGTGGTTATAGTTAAGTTTTTGTGTTTTGGTCTGTTTTTCTTATACTGTATGCAATAGGTCTACTATATTTGGTGTATGGAATGATTGTAAGGTGTACATGTCTAGCGGGCAGGTGTCATCTGACCTTGACCTCATTTTCATGGTTCAGTGGTCAAAGTTAAGTTTTTGAGTTTTGGTCTTTTTTTCTAATACTGCATGCAATAGGTCAGCTATATTTGGTGTATGGAATGATTGTAAGGTGTACATGTCTAGCTGGCAGGTGTCATCTTACCTTGACCTCATTTTCATGGTTCAGTGGTCAAAGTTAAGTTTTTGAGTTTTGGTCTTTTTTTCTAATACTATATGCAATAGTTCAACTATATTTGGTGTATGGAAATATTTTATGATCTATATGTCAGTCACGCAGGTTTTATTTGACCTTGACTTCATTTTCAAGGTTCATTGCTCAGTGTTAAGTTTTTGTGTTTTCGTCTGTTTTTCTTAAACTATAAGCAATAGGTCAACTATATTTGTTGTATGGAAGAATTGTTAGCTGTACATGCCTGCCTAGCATGGTTCATCTGACCTTGACCTCATTTTCATGGTTCATTGGTCAATGTTTAGTTTACTTGGTTAATGTTAAGTTTATGTGACAGTTGTAATAAAGCTTTATATTTAGGACTATCAACATAATATCAATGATTAGTAAAGAAGGCGAGACATTTCAGCGTGTGCACTCTTGTTTTCTATTAACATGATATTTTATTTAACATTTATTCTTTTATCCTTAGAAATTGTGATGTCTGTTTCTTCAAATACATTATAAATATTTATTACTAGATTTTTGTTATTACAAAATTACACAATAAAACAACATTACCCCCTCCCCCCCAAAATAAAAACAACAACAAAAAACCACACTTTTTCTATCTACCCCCTAAAAGAAAATTAAAACAGAAAAGGTAATTTCAAACAGAGAGTTCATCATCTCAATAAACAAAGTAGATGGATTTGCAAATAACCAGTATAACATAACAGACGTTGTTTATGTTCCATATCTATAATTGTTATTATATTGGATTATGTGGTTTAAACTTTTTTTAGATAACATAACAGACCTAGATTTGTTTATGTAACTGATTTCTAACTGTTGAAATGATGACCTCTTTTAGACCATATTGAATTATGTTGTTCAAAGTTTTTGAGATATGCCAGATTTCTTGGTTTACAGAAATTAGATCTCATCTTTACATTAAGTAAAGTATCAACTCATTTTTAAGATTTCTGTCACTTTACCCTCTATCCATCAATTATTGCTACCTAAAAGGTCACACAATTGTATTAAACAATAGAAGTATTTTGATTTCATGTAAGAAGTATATAAATAGGGAGTTGTGAATATATTACTTTATGCTAATTATCACCGGATCACAACATTCATCACGTTCATATAGCATATTTACCTCTTCAAAACATTATGTTTAAAACTAATTTCAAAATATAAGGGCTGTTCCATTAAACATACATGGTACCCAGGGAAGACACGTTAACTACCTATAGAGGCAAATTAAAACTTCACTTACATTTCCACTATGCAAAAACATAGATGACACCCACCCATGGTTGAGATTTGGAAGTGCCTTCCCTGGGTCACATGTATGTTTTTATGGAACAGCCCTAATGATAAATACATGTATGATAATTTTTCAGTTCTATTTGTAAATTAGATATCCAGTTATTAAAAATACTTTTTATCATTTTCAAAAAATGTTGAAACATGTATTTTCCAGATAAGTGTATTTATTTTTGTTATCAAGAAATCCAATATATATTCTATTGCTTTAATCTTTTAAACTTTATTTTTGTGTATATATAAATGATATTTTCACCAAATGTTACCTATCAAGATATATCCAAAATATAATTTTATTGGAAAAAAAGTGGATTTAAGTAAATATTTGAGGAAATACTTTAAATGAAATCTTGCTGATAAGTATTGCTTCTCATTCACCATTTATCATTTTTATCCCTTTTACTAATGTTTGTTTATTAATTGAAAGCTGTGTTATTATTTTTTATAAAGAATAGGCTAATAGTGACATACCTTGTTACTGGAATTTCAATAATGTCAATTTTAAATAGTTTTTAATTTGATATCACTACTAGATTATGTTCATATGATTTGAAGAACTGAAATATTGAAATACAAGATGACAGAGAAAGTTATTTATTATACCAATCAAGTTCAGATTGTTTAGCTGTCTTGTGAATGTCAAGATTTAAATAATAATAGATAGTTGGTTTTATAACAAGTAACTGAACTTTAATTTCGTCTTATTAAAATCTATTCAACTACCATATATTTATATTGTAAAGATGATAGTAATGGATGTCTGCAATTAAGTATGCATTGTTACTAAATGTTTCAGGCTTGAATGATATAGACATGAACAACATATAGGGCACCTGAATCTGATTTTTAACATCTATAAGCACATAGAATCGAAAGCAACTTAGCATCTATTTTTAATTAGTAATTCTTAAGAATTTCAGACAAATGGTATAAGTAGCTTTCTTAATTGACATAAATAAGATTCAGTTTTTTATTGTATAATAGTTTTGTCATAAAATGCTAGCATAAAAGTAACGGAAGAAAGGGCTTAGCAATGCATCATGGGTAGCTGGATCTTTATTGAAAACACTGAGGAAACCATTTATACATGACTATTTGTATGATATATATATATATACACCAATTTTACTGAACTTTGTGTTACTGTAAAGTTATTATATCTATACATGTTGTAGCATGTAGTTACACTTATAAGAAGTGCTTAGCTATGCAAATATATACATAATTTTGTCATTGTATTTTAGTACTTCTTAGTACAAACTTTACAACATCTACTTTATTTATTTTTAAATCAGTGCTGGTATTTGGTTTTATTTATGTATACAGCTTTAGTTTGAATCCTTTAATTGATAAATCAGATCCTTTAAAAAGTTTGTTTTTATTTTTCGTTTGTGGAATGAATTGTTCTTATGTTGTATGTTTTAAAATCTTATCATAATTTAAACAAGTATTCTGCAAACAGTTAGTTATGGTGCTTTTTGTTAAATCATGACTATATTATTAATTGTCTCTGTGATAGTAAAGCAGTAAAACAAGTTATTGTCTGAAAGTTGACAATTAAATCAGAATACTAAAGAGTTGTCTCCCATATACCATGACCATATTAACATATACTTTAAATCATTAAATGACTGTTCATCTGTTACACTTGTGATACAAATTCTGCTGAAATTAGCATTTCACTATATTTTAACCATTTAATAACACATATACATGATAAAGGTAGTGATTTGAATTTAATGGACAAACCATGTCTTAAAGTAATTTATGCAGTTGGGTACAGTATCTCACTTAAATACTAAAAAATGATGCACATTTGTGGTCAGACATTTGACATTCTAATTAGTAAAAGTACAGAATAGTATAAGATTTATTGGTGGTATTTTTTAAAGTGACCATTATTCTCTGAATTTTGTATTGGTCAATAGTTCTCTACTTCATTACCTCATATAACTCACACTGCAGATAACAGATATTCTTTTGGAAGATAATCAGCTCAATACCAGATCTAACTTATTTACGAAGGCTTTAAAACAATCATCATTAAGATATTATCAGCCAGATTGGCTGTCTTTGTAAAAATGAAACCTATTAATTTCCACACTGTTTTAATGAGTCTCAGCTTTATAGGCAAAAGTAACTTTGTGACTGTTTACATGTTTATTTTTTTATTTATTAATTTCAGGAGCCTTGATCTTTAACTCCCTTATTAATAGGAATATTGTATGCTGTCAATCTAATTTTATAGCGAAGTATGCCACAGCTTGTTCATTTTTTTACTTCCTTAAATTTTGAAACATATATATGATAAAACTCCTTTACTCACATGAACCATTCTGTACCATAAAATTATTTGGTTGTAAGTGTTTAACTAAGTCAGTAGATTGTAACAAGATATTAAAGTAAAATAACAGGATTTATCATTTTGTTGACAGCCAAAATTTCAGCTTCTCGTGTCATAAAAAATAGAAGCAATGTAATAGTTCAAATACCTCTTGCACTTTACTTCTTTTTAAAATTTTCATTTAGCTGATATTTAATAAAGAAAGAAGCTTCTCGAATACTCTTAAATATTGTATTTACTTGTCATGAATAGAGATTATAGTATTATATGAGTGTTTTTCCAAATTGATATTTGTCACTAATACATTAATGTTATGTGCTAATAATATATCATGTGCAATATTTACTTATTTTGGCCTCGGATTTTAACATGGTTTGCATGTAGCAATTTTAGCACTTAGATGTATGGTATATATTTTTTCAAAAAAGTGTTCATAATTGCAGAAAATATAATAAACTAATGATTTTACTCAGAATTTAAAATATATGTGTTTTTATTACTATAGAAGTCTGTGTAA